ATGACATCTGTTTTTTTAACGCACTGTTCTGTGCAAAATCTGGGCTCTTTATGAGAAACACAGGCTGGGAAATAACGTGGCATGACAGATCAGTACCGTTCCATCTATGGATCAGCTCTGAGAGCTGGAGTTTGCCAGCCCTATACAAACTGTGGTCACCAAATAAGCTGAGGGAGGGAGAGGCTGGTCTTTCACATTCCAGGTACAGAGTTCCAGTTTCTTGTCTAAAGGAGAATCTAATCGTGTCATGGAAGAGGAAAACTATTGCAAGATTATTCAATGTAAGAAAAGGGTTAATAAAATTCCTATTTTAAAAGGAAGGTACTTCTATACCTGTTGACCTTTATGAACAAATTCCTAAATCATATGCCAATTAACTTATTTCTGATAATATGCAAATGAACAAATTATATTTGATCTCTCAAAAATAAAACTCGTCCTTTTCTACTAGTCATGTAAGAATCCCCACTAGGCCATGTTTTTATGGTACAGAGAAAGTAGTAAAACATTTATTGTAGGAACAATTTATAATCTAATTCTAGAGCAGAAAGTAAATAAGATATGTAAGTAATAATGAGAAAATACTTGTGCCAAGATCAACAGTATACACTAGCAAAGACAGATTAATGGTTTATTTATAAAATAAACAAATACTAACTTCTAATATTTACTATCATTTCTGAGGAGAAAGAAAGAAGCAATAAGCACTATTTTTATTAATTTTACCCACATGTACTAGAGAAGGATTTCAACTAAGTTTTCCTAAGCCTTTGTATCAGCTATGGCAAGTCTAACCGCACCCACCCTGCAAACGTGAAGCCCATTACAAAAAAAAGTAAGTTGAAAATTAAAGTTAAAATCATTGTAAATTTGCATAAATGGAAGTCTAATCAAATCAAAGCTGGCTTTAAAAAACCCAGAACTTACCAATTTGCCTGAATATCCAAGGGTCTATTAAATAGCAAGAAAAAAAGGTATAAGTATCCGTCAACATTCAAAACCTTGACGTTTCTAACTATCTTACAGCATTTCAAATAACCTCATCAAAGTCCAACTCATGAATGCATACTTAAGTATAAACTGTCCAAACTATACTCCGATGAGGGCAGAGTAAGTATTTACGATGACAACAGTCATGGAATAAGCAACACAAAGGTGACAGTTATAGAAAAAGCAAATTTCTAAAATGAGAGTAATATTTACGTGCACTTCAGCAAAACCACTTCGTATGTACAGGAGCTACAGTATGGATAGGCTTTAAAACAAGAGCAATGCTCCTCAGGTGTCCTGACTATTCTCAAAGTGGCAACTTAGAAAATGCCGGCTAACTTTCGAAATAACCACGACGACTACACTTTTAAACCAGGGAAATCAGTTTCAGTCCCAGTGTCTGCCTCACGAGCTCTAGGGACACCCTCAGTCACTCACACTTCAGACACGCTGACCTCATGACTCCTGTGACACCAAGCTCCCCTGTCTCTGTGCCTTAGCACGTGCTGCCCCGTGAGGCCTGATCAGCCCTCTTAGCCCCACCAGCCTGTCTCGTAACCGGTCTTCAAGACCCAGCTCAGATGTAGGCAGGCTCTGGCCTCTGCCTCGCAAATCTGGGCCGGTGCTCTCAGCCAGCGTTCCCACGTGTGTGACGCGGGTGTGTAACCCCTCCGAGTGCCTGCTCTGTTGTAGTGAGATTCGGCCTTCACCTGTCACCTCCCTCTTTCCCACTTGACTCCCTGGTTGTTTCTTTACCTCTTGAGCCTAAAACAGTTTCTAGTATATAGTAGAAACAGCAAAGACATTTTTGGAAAAAATAATGCAAACCCAAGGAAGCCAATGTGGCTACCAGAAATCATTTAGTTCAACCAACATTTGAGTGTGTAAGTGGGTTTAAACTGTGCAGACATGACCAAAAGATACAATGCTTGCCCATGGGGTGTTCATGAATAAACATATGAATACATTACCATGCATTACACAAAATAATCTAAGAATGGACTTGGAAATCATACTTAACTTTTCCTTCCATTTCATCCCACATCTGAAATTAAAATTCTCCAAATTTCATCCTATCTGAAATACAATCTCTCTACCCTTCTAACTTGACTACAGTGTGTGTTTCTGTAATGTGAAGCAGCTCACATGCGCCTAGCAAAAAAGAAAGAACAGTCAGTAAAACAGAGGTCATATTGGTTCATACAGGACTTTCCCAAGCATATCGATGTTCTGTGCCACAAGTTAACTGGGGCTGAATACAAGGTGTGCTAACAGCTAACGCTGGCCGTTATTTTCAGTGCATGATTGTGCAGAACATGGGGTTTTTCAGGAATACACTGTCCTTCTACAGTAGAAATGATTGTACCTTAGGCCACAGTAGATTTACTAATTAAATAAGCTACTTAAATTATTAAATAAGCTATGACTGTGTGTCAAGGTTAGAAAGGAAAAAAAAAGGTTAACCAAAAGTTACTGATGATATTTTGTTAAGTGTTGTTTTAAAAACTCTGAATACCTTGTAATTTAAATCCAATTAACTGAGATTTTACATTGAAAATAATATAAAAATAATTCACACTAAAATTAAATGGAATGTTTTCCACACTAACTTACAACCAGTCTGATAAGCTCGAAACATTATTTTTTTTAATCATCATTCTCCTCAGCTTAACAATCTACTCAGGAGCTTTTACAGACTAACCAATAACCTTGTGAATACAGAAGCATAAATTCGTAACAAAATTTTAGCTAATCAAATCCAGCAATATATAAAAACAATAATGCACTATGGTCAAGTCGAGGTTATCCGAGGAATATAAGGTTAGTTTAATGTTAAAAACACAATCAACGCGATTCATCACACTAGCAAATTAAAAACAACAAACCAACCATTAGCTCAGTAGATAAATTTAAAACCTTTGACAAAATCCCAAACCCATTCATGATGAAGTCTAAGCAAACTAGAAAAACAACAAGAATTTTTAAAGTAGTTATTACAGCTTGAAGGAAAATAAGTTCATAATGATTTACAAGACTGGAAATCTTAGAAGAGAAATAAAAACTATAAGAAAGAATCAAATCGAAGCTTTAGAACTAAAAAAATTTCAATACCTAAAATAAACATAACTCAAGAAAGACAGCATTCTTTCCAGTTTCTTAAATTTTTACTAGTAATCTGTAGTGCTTATGGTCACTGTATAATTTTTCAAAATGTGAAACACAAATATCAATGAAACATAAAAAAAATCTGGACTAGAAAAACTGATCATCTCTCAATTTTTATGTGTTGGCGGTTTTCAATTTCCACGTATCTGAAACGTGAAAGCAAGTTCACTGATTCATTTACTTAAAAATTTATTGACGGCCTGATAATTAAAACACTGATGACATGAAGTTAGGAAAACAAAGAGTCTCTGGCCTCAAGGAGCAACCCAGATGGAAGGGGTCACAGGCCCTAAGAGCCTCTGCTGGTGATGTCACTGTGTAACTGTTTCTTTAATGAGATTAATTCTACCCCTCTAAGGCCCAGAAGGGACTCTATATACTTGGCAAGGTATAGATAACACATTTTTCAAAATTTTAACAATCCTATTAACTTTATAGTACAGATTTTGTTGTATGAGCTTCACATGATTAAACTATTTTCACATAATTTCTAAAAATCATACATGTCAGGATTAAAAAATTTCTAGTAAACTATAAAATTTGACAACTGAAATTCCTATAATTTTGTTGTTCTAATAGATTTTTAGGGTAATTCTTATTTCTGAATCACTTAATATTTTTTACATACTCATTATAAAAACAATACTTGAAATTCTGGAGAAGGGTGAAACAAAAGAATGTTCAATAAAAGTTTTTCTTTAAGATCCCAAAATGTGGATATTGCAAGTTCAAGGGTCAGACACTCATTTAAAATGATTTTACAAAATGTTTTGTCATTTGAAAAGATATGATGAACTTATTAATGAGTTAAAAAAAAAAAAAGAGAGAATCCATAAAACTATAAAATAACATGGAGCATGGACTCTGGGATTAGAAAGAAACAGATTTAAGTCTAGGGCTTATTACCTTCTAAGACACAGGACCTTCAACTAGTTAACTGTCTCATCTATAGAACATCTGTAAACTATCACGGGATCATTGTGTAAGTTAAATAAGAAAATTACTATTAGTCATATAAACTGATACAACTCTTTAGAAAGGCACACTGCCAACATTCCTGCAATGTACTTGCATGGACTGTTTGTCACATGGGGGGAAAAGTTAAAAGAGTCTCTAGTTTGGGAATCTCTGGTTTATTTCAGAGTTTTTCAGTCTTTAATATGTGAACGTACATTGTGAGTTCCAAAATGGTATTGTAACATTCATCATTTCTAAAACTCAGTATTTCAAGGAACTAGTGTATTCCACTGAAATCAGATTTCAAAAACCTATAAATTGGGCACCGAGGAGAACTGTAAAAGTTTCATACTCTCCTGATCCAGATCACTTCTGGGACATTTTTATAAGAAAATATGAAAAAATGAAGCCAATGAGAAGATACCTTGTGTAGTGATATTTCTAATCACAAAATTCAGGTGAAACGTCAATGTCCAATGTCAGCAGAATACACAATAATACGTCAATGTCAAAGATTGCACAATTATAGCTACTATAACTGCTAGAATGGGAACCACGAAAACGTTTAAGTTTTATCTTTTTAAGTTTTGTCTTTTTATAGACAGAATCCAACTTTCTTTGTGTGTTAGAATTATAACTATATAAAAATGTATGTATGTGTACAAAGACTTGCAAGACTAAGGAAAATGACACAAATTAATGTCCTGCATAGTGGGGCTGTGGTAATCCTTTTACTTAGTTTTTAGCTTTTATAGTATTGCGTACACAACAGGTAAAAAAGGTTCTCTGTAAAGAAAGATACAAAGGTAAGACCTTGATTAAACACTACTTTAATATGGCTGCTTTTCTATTAAGTTTCCTGGAGATCAATAATATTTCAATTACAGGACCATTCAAAGACTGCCAGCATGCCAAAGACGCTGGCTATTCAATGAGTGGGATTTACATGATTAAACCTGAAAACAGCAATGGACCAATGCAGCTGTGGTGTGAAAACAGTCTGGATCCCGGGGGCTGGACTGTTATTCAGAGGAGAATGGACGGCTCTGTCAACTTCTTCAGAAACTGGGACAATTATAAGGTAAATCAGTGCATCAGACCTGGGGGGAGAGGTAGAGCAAAGCAGCTCTCGCCCCCGGACCCATTCTACCCAGTAAATTAGACACAGAGTTGAAAAGTAACTATCCACGTGTTCCGTTATCAACATTTGTCGAAAAGATGATTCTCATCTCCAGTTTTAAAGTCAAAATCAGTGTAAAAAGGAAACTGAAGATGTACTTTAAAACAACCCCTTTCAGGTTGGATGACTTACACATACATGAAATTCTTTGCAAAGGCTACTCCTAATTCCATTTTCTAAGGAGGTAACTGTTTTTATTTATGAACACATGGGTACCCATCATCAAGTGTATTTAAGCAGTGATATAAAGTATGAGACTTTTAAAAAAATGACCCCTTTCTTAGGACTAATTCCCTCTGATAATCATGCCACCATGCTTTAAGTTGATGACGCCAGACACTGGTGCTGTTGGGAAGTAACGTTCACCTGGACGTTCCCATAGAACCAGAATTATGCAATGCCCATTGTGGAAAGGTAAACAGCTGTCTTTGTTAGTAATTCCGACATTCATTATGCTGATATTCTTATGAACGGTATATACTTTCAGTTTAAGGATGGCAGATGGGAAAAACTGTATTTTGTAGATGGTTAATTCTCCAAACAATATTGTGACGTATCATGTGATTACTCACTCTTAGGTGACATTATACCGGCAGCAAAAAATGATACATTAATATATCCTTGTCAGAAGTTGTGTAAATTTCTAAACAACTACAAAAGAATTCTGCAGCACAACCTCCTTGAAAATACATTTAGTGTTGAGATCAGGTTTACGAAAGTTAAATTGTGCTGCATGCATGCGATGGCAAATGCTTATGGAATTTGTTTTTTGTAAACACTAACCTACAATTTTTCAAAGGGGGAATTTTGAAGATTACTATTTTTTCTTCTTATACTTATTAATTTTACTTATAACAGAGCTAAAGAAGATAATTCAGTCTAAGACAGATACTATCATTTTTTTGAATGATCACAATGTTAGATACCCTTTTTGTCTATGGTGGGGACAGTATCTATATACTTCTAGAAAAAAATGAGCTCCTTGAATATGAGAGAGATCAGGAACTGTTTTCCAAGGACCTGGGTAGTTCGTTACTTGATGTTTTTAGTAGCTATGAATAACTTTTATTCTCTTTTGCCTTTGTCTTATTTATAGGTTTTGAAACTAGCTGTGCAAATAAAAACTACTAACAAATTAAGAGAAAGCAAAACAAAACAAAGTGACTATGGGGGGCTCATAAAGATCAGGTGATCTATTGCCAATAAAATTCACATTCACATTATCACTTAAATGGCCAATATCTCCATGTTCAAATGTTTAAAACTTATCTATTAAAACATTTACTATCTCTACAATCATTTACGTACTCATGCTCTTTTACAGAAAGGGTTTGGAAACATTGATGGAGAATACTGGCTGGGATTGGAAAATATTTATATGCTTAGCAACCAAGATAATTACAAGTTGCTGATTGAATTAGAAGACTGGAGTGATAAAAAAGTCTATGCAGAATATAGCAGCTTCCGCCTGGAACCTGAAAGTGAATTCTACAGACTGCGCCTGGGAACTTACCAGGGAAATGCAGGGGACTCTATGATGTGGCATAATGGTAAACAGTTCACCACACTGGACAGAGATAAAGACATGTATGCGGGTGAGTAGGAAAAAAACTGGTATGTATTTAGAATCACCACCTTCTATACACAAAATAGAACCCTGCTGTTAAAGTGCATACTACTGAAGGTCTTTCTGGAAAGGCCATTTTGGATCAAAGGGAAGGAACAGCTGTAGGAGCTCTTCTGTAACTACAAGGCGACCCCAAAGTGCGACCTTGCGAAGGAGGCTCTGCAGCTCTAACTTGGAGGGGTGGGGATGGGAAACAGAGCAAACTGCATTCATCTGCAAATAAACTTCCTGACACCAACTGGACACCTCCCACGTGCCAGGCTGGGTGCAGAGGACAGAGCAGGCAGTGAGGTCGCTGCCCTTTTGGAGCTTACTCTCTAGAGGGAGACTGATGATTTGTCAGTGATGACAATTACTCCAAGGGAACCAACCAACCAACCGAGTAAGGGAACAGACATTGGTGGGCAGCAGGGCACGGGTGCTCTTTCATAGGGGGTGGCCAAGGAAGATCATTGTGAGAAGGTCACATCTGAATAATGACCTGAAGGGAGCGAAGGAAGCAAGCTACTGGGGTGCATGGTTAAAGGCACCTCTTAGCAAAGAAGAGCAGCAAAAACGCCTGTGGCCTGTGGTGCGGGAACAAAAAGAGCTTCATTCGGAGGGGAAATGAATGTTCTCCTTAGAATCAGTCAGGCCATCCAGGTAAAATAATTTTAAATTTTATTATCATGTACTTTTCCCTTTTTAACCCAGGTTTCTGGTCCTGATACAGAGATATTGGCTCTGGAAATTGATTTATATTTCTGTTCAGCTGTTTCCTGGCAAGCATTTCAAACTATTTCACACAGGCAAGAGAGGAGAAAAGGAAGAGCTATGAAATACCCATAATATATGCCCTTTCCCCTTTTTTACAAATAGCCATTTGTTCGTTGTGCTATTTTATTTTTTGCGGTTTTGAGAATTAATTTTTCCCAAACTTTACTCTCTTTAGCAACCTACTGTCTCTCCTTCCCAATTTCTCTAATCCTTCTTTTACATGCAAACAATGCTTGTGTTTTACTTACCCTGCTACCTAGAAAATTAGATCACTAAAAAAAAAAAGAAAGAAAGAAAAAGAGCAAGTCCTAAGCAAGCAAAGGCCAGGATTAGAAAGGCAATTCAGGGGTCTTTCATGTACTTTGTATTTAAGCGGCAGTTAACAGAATAAATGAAGAAACAAAATTATGAAGACAAAGGTTAACAGAAATCAGTAAGAAAAGCTCAAATTAGATTGCACCGCAGGTTATTTCTGATGGTTTGCAGAGCACCACACTGAGAAGAAATTTTTACTCTGATGTCTATTTTTCCCTCAAAGGAAACTGTGCCCACTTTCATAAAGGAGGCTGGTGGTACAACGCCTGCGCACATTCTAATCTGAACGGAGTGTGGTACCGAGGAGGCCATTATAGAAGCAAGTACCAGGATGGAATCTTTTGGGCTGAATACCGAGGAGGGTCATACTCCCTGAGAGCAGTTCAAATGATGATCAAGCCTATTGACTGAAAGGAGACAGTCTACAACTTAATAGAACTCTTGTATTGTTCAGTTTCTGAAAATGTAAATTTTACATGTATATTATTTTGCACAGTTCATTTCCGCAGATACAGTTTTTTAAACGAATTTTACCATAGCTACAAAACTATGAATATAGTTTCATCTTCCCTCAATATACTGCAGAAGATTATTAGTTTTCATAATCCCAGTTATTTTAAAAATTACATTCAGTAAATACAGGCAAAGTTTGTTTTCTAAAGTGTAAATATTTGCCACAATGTCAAACAAATCTTAGCTTTATTTTAAATCAAAATTGAATACATGGTTGAGATCCTTAACAATTTATTTAAAAACTTTATGAGACTGCTCCAACTTCCCATGAAAAAATATTTTTAAGATTTCAGCCAAGTAGTACATTTTATTTATAAAAATACAGACAGGAAATTAGAGAAAACTCTAGTTTTGCCAACAGAAAATACATTTTGCATTAAATAAAAGTTATTTCAAATCAAATCTGTGTCTTTCACATAAAATGACTAAATTCTTGACAACATTTTATGCCAATTTCCCCAAAGAATTAAGTGACTCACAATATAAAAATACATTATTTAAAAACAAAAAATAAATGTAGATAGTATTTAAATGGTCTATTTATAAAAACAAATATACAGATGTATTTTTAGTTATTATTCATATGATTTTTTTAATCCTCACCCAAGGATATATTTACTGATTTTAGAGAGAGAGGAAAGGAGACAGACAGAAAGGGAGATCGAGGGGGAGAGAGACACAGAAACACTGATGTGTGAGGAAAACAACACTGGCTGCTTCCAGCACGCGCCCCGACGGGGATCAAACCCACGACCTTCTGGTGAACAGGGTGACACTCCAACCAACTGCGCTGCCTGGCCAGGGCAATATTATGTTTATATGACTTGCTGAACAGATCTCCTGAAGTGCATTTTATGTTGTTATATCAGCAAAATATCGATATTATAAAAATGAAGAATGTTTAGCAAACCAATGGTCTAACAGATCTGAATTATAACACGAAGCTTTTTTATAAACTTGTCCTCCCTAACTTACTGATCCTTACTATTTGGGAAAAACCCATCTGCTATTCAAGTCAGAATGCTTGGACAACTGTACAGGCATGACTGCATGCTAACGGGCGGGAGAAGAACAGCTGCAAGTAACTTTTAGGTATTTCCCCAATGCTGAGATTCAACAGCTTCAGAGCAGAATCCACAGGGGTTTGGTTAGTTCAAATTACTAACTCCATTTTATAGTGTGTACATCTTTGACTTGTCTTTGCAACTATTAACCTTATTACCCATCTTCTGAAACAATTTCCTTCTAAAAATACTTCCACTGCTTATAGCTGAACTGTCCTTAATTCATTTGTGAACTAAAATTTTAGAGAAATCTCATGAGGCTTTTGCTCAAACAAAAAGAAAACCCAATAAAAACTGAAGACATTAATTTATTTGAACAACTCAAGTCCACCAACACAACCAATGTTTTTCCTCTGTCACATCTCAAGATAAAACTTTGGGTGAAAGAAGTAAAGATAACATCAAAACCCTATCATGGTATTATTCCTTGTTTTACTTATGCTCCTCTTAAAATGGTTTTCAAGTACTTCCCCATCACCCCCAGACAGACATCCCCCCAACACCAAACACAAAACAAGGTTCGAGGGGAATTAGACATCTAATTGTTACATAAAATATTAATTAAATAATACTTTACTAGGGCATTTCAGCAGAACTGTAGCATTTCCTTTTGACCAACCAAAGCTCAATCAGGACAAGTCTAACAGAATTTTCACAGAAGAGAAATATTAGTAAAGCTAGAATGACGTAAAAGTCAACGTACAAACTAGAAAACGGGGCCGCGCGCTACACTGCCTTGGCCCCTCGGCCCACTCCACCCGCCTCCGCAGAGCCGACAGCGCTCCGTGCAGGGGGGCCGGAGGGCTTCAGGAAAGCCGAGGCGAGCTGAGTTCCTTGAGAGGAGGGAGAAAGCCGCAGTATCAGGTGATGACTGAGGGTAGGCTCTAAGGTCAGAACGCTTGGGTTCATGGCCCCCCTCTACCATCTGCCAGGTGGGTCACCTTGGGCAATTTATATACTCTTGCTTCAGTTTTCTTATTTACAAAATGGGGATAATGACAGTGCCTAGCTCATGTGATTACTGTAAAATCAAATGATACATATGGTAATACATTCGGTAAAATATTGAGAATAATACCTGGCACAGGTAAGGGCTCAGCAGACTGTAGCTATCAGATTACAATGACCCACGATCTTCATAACAAACCTGCTAGAGCAATGTCAGCTACTATGGCAGACAGTAAAGAGACTGAGCAATAAGAAAATAAAAAGAAAAATTAAGGCAGGAATAGACACAGTAGGAATTTCAGCCTAATGAGGACTCTGTGAGAGAGTAGACAGGTCAATTGTGTGGAAGGAAAGGCCTGACCTGCTACTTTGCAGGTTACCTAAGAACAAAAACGTGGCTGCCTTACCCTCACTAAGACTGAGCTATGACTTTGGAGCTGGTTTAGAGAAAGGCTGTTTATGTCAGTTATTCTTAAAAGATGAAATAAAGCTTGTTCTAAAAATGATTTAGACTCTACCATACTCAATGGGAGGCCATCAATGTCTGGGAAACTTGGCATCTTTGAGGTGGACTTTTAAAACTTGAGATTTTGGGTAATGCCAACATTAAATACCACCTTGAAATTTAGTAGATATCTACAAATAAACTTATTTTTAGACTTCAAGCCTGATAGAGTACAAAGACCAATTTTTAGTCTAATGTTCACATGACTCTATGAGTCATGATATTCAAGTGCTAATTTTTCTGGCATTCTTCTTTGGATTCCCACTGGTAATAATATAAAAACCCTGCAAAAACTTCTGTAATCATGGTAATGTTTTAAATTACTTGGAAATCTATACTAATGTAAATACTACTATTTTTATACTTAATAGTAAGTTAAAGATTATCACACCATAACAAGTAATAAATGTTTAGTCTTTTAGGGTCTGTGAAAGATAACCAAGCAAGAAAGAAAAGAATAATTCTACGTACAAAGCCATGGCCCCACCCTCTACCTCCAAAAAAGCTCAGTTTCCAATTTTATCAGTGAGGTTAACAGTTATTAAGTTGTAATTCTATAGATAATTATAAGAAAGATGAGGAACAAACTCAGAATTTCAATCTAAATATAGACTCCCAAAATACTGATAGAATTCCATAACTCTTTTTTTAACTGTATATTTATTACTTACAGTGCATATCTTTATAGCAAGTCAATTTAACCTCCCTGTCTTGCTTTCTTCATTTGTAAAATATGAACAATAGTATCATTTACCTTATAAAATTGTTGTTACAAATGAATTTATGTGAAGTACACAGCATCAGGCATATAGTATTGAGTGCTAAATAAATATTAATTATTAAGATTTTTATTATTCTCCCGTTAAAATTTGCTTTAAAAAATTACAAACTATTGAAATAGCAACAGCTGGAAACACCACTGGCAAAGCTGCTGGAACTGGGGAGCTGGATTCTGTTTGTGAATGAAATGCACATCTGCATAGCTGCTATACATTTTTTTTAAAAAGAGACGGGTTCTTAAAGAAAAACAATGAACATGGAGAAAAAAACTGGTGTAGCCCCAGCCCCAGTCCTTTTCTGAAGTAACCTTCAGAAAATAACTTCAGAATATACATATACCATTAAAGAATGTTAGAGGAATTTTAAATATATGAAAAAGAATGAGGTAATGGAAAATGGGGCTGTAATTCTGGCTGAAGAAAAACCTGGGCTGGCGGCCATTCGGTCAGAGCTCATTCTCAGGATCCAGAAGAAAACGCCTGACCTGCTTTACTGCTGTTTTAGAACGTAGTATATGTAATCAATCTAGTGCGAAGAATAAGGTAAAGTAAACCATAGTGTATAGCATCCACAAATCAAAGAAAGGAAAATGGAATAGAACTCTTTAAATATTAAAAGCCAATATTTTTAAACCACTAGGCATTTTGAGATCAGTTCAGAGCCTTTTATATATTTAACCAAGTACAATTCTACCAAAGGGGAAGGAAAGAAATCTCAATAGCCACACAGCTGAAGAAAGCTTTGGACTCTGTTGAAATTATCTGAATGAAAATGTAAATTAAAAGCTATTATTTTTGAAAATATTTGTGCATAGGTTAATAGAAGTTTCTAAAACTAATGAAAACTAAAGAACCACATATTACTGAGAGATCAAGATAGGTAAAAACCACTGAAAAATAAAAGGATCAGATAAAATCTGAAGATCCTTGTACTGTTTAGGCATGCTTTAAACACCTCCTTAGCTGTGACGACGAGGACGCACTAACACAGCCTGGCTATGACATGTACCTCTTCCATGACCCAGGAGCTAGGAGAGATGATTCACAAGGCAGTAACAGCACCCCGAGCCTTGGTTCTGAAGAGCTGCGAGGTTCTGTGAGGCAGGGACAAAGTCCGTTTCATTCCCTGCTAGTCTCTGGCACCAGGCACACTGCTAAGCAAATAATGGTAGCCAGCCAAGGCACCAAAAGAAAACTGGAGGCGGGTAGGGAATTGATGTCCACACAAATTTACTGCATTTGAAACAAATTTACCGCACAAATGGGAAAAGCCAGAAAAGGGTCATTTAATTAATTAACTTCCAACAAATATTGCTAAGTGCCTATTTTTGTTCTAGATGCTAAGGAGAAAGCCTTGAACCAAGTCAAAGAAGGGCTAACTTACTGCTGAGGAGGAGGCAGATTAATGCAAACATCACAATGAAAATAAAACGGTGCTTTTCAGAGAACAGGGGACGGAGGGGGCACTAGAGCACAGAAGGGTAGGGTAAGGACTGCCTTATTCTTCTCAAAAAAAAAAAAAAAAGGTGTACTATGAAAATCTAACACATTGCATACAAAACTAAGAGAGTGTGTGTGGCGGGGGGTGGGGAGGAGCGCGGAGCCCCACGCAGACACATCCAGACAAGGCGCTTGTGCCCCACAGCAGGGCAGGAGCTTCCAGCAACTGCTCCTAGAGCAATCTACACAACTGCAACAACGTCCTTCCCCCCAGAGGTTCAGAAACATGGGGTGGGGCAAAAGTAGGATTACAGTTGTGAGTACATGAAACAGTTTATTCTAGGGTTATCATTTATTAATTACTGTATTATTTTCACACGGACAACTGTAAACCCACTTTTGCCCCAACCTGTGTATGCTTTCTTTCCCACAAAACATAAGCTGGCTGAGCTGCTGCATCTTCCCAAAGTTATGTAAATAAAGTAGAACTGAGGCTAGAAAATGCACATGAAAGAATATCATGTTTCATACAACTAAATTATTTTTGCACAATGTTCTGCTTTTCTTTCTCTCCAGCAAAGCAGAACGTTCCATGCCAAATTCTTCAATAAGCCCCTTAAGGTTGTTCTCCAATGACAAGGACAAATGAGTCCTGTTAATGATTTTCAGATTTGAAGCAATAATTCTCATATAAAACAATTTTTTCCTTGAGATTTGCCAAGCTATTCCTCTCCAGAAAAATCGTATCCTTATTCTAAGAATATTTTACTATATTGTGCAAGCTAATTTTTACCTTGAATGAGAACCAACAGAAGAGACAACTTTTCAAGGGATGATGAATTGAAAGCTAAGAAAACATTACTACTTCTTAGAATTCAATCCCTGCTGAATTATAGATAAATCTGGCAGTATCAAAATAAAGAGTTTTGTCAGCATATAAATCCCCATACCACCTTTTTTTAAAGCTTCACAAAGAATGGTTGGTTTTGATCATAATTTTTGGGGACAAAAACACCATTAGTTTGGATCCTATTCTAGTGTTAAGACATGTATGAGGAGCCTTTTCCTTTTCTCTAGGATCTCCAGGTTCCTCTGGTCGATGTGTTCTTGCCATGAGGGTAGTATTGTACAATTCTGTATGCTTGAAGAGGAAGTTAAATAGAAGCTACCAATTTGCATATTGAATATTATCTTTCAAATGGCTTCAGGGCAAGTTCTGTCCTATCAAATGTACAGCATCTTGTAAACGCTACATTTCTGGCATTTGTAGAAGGCCTAGTTTCTTATGAGTAGTAAAGGATTTTAAAAATCAAGACAAGTTAAATTTAAAAACCATGACCTGAATTCATTTTAAATTAGAACAAAATATGAACAAAGTAAATTTTAACAGGATATATGTGTTAACTACTGTTAAATCTTCATTCTTCACAACACTTTAGTACTGAAGATCAGGGATAAAACAAAAACCCAGCTGTCTATGATGTAAATACATCAAGCAGTCACAGCTGTGTAAGTTAAAAATGCTTCACATTTTCTTAAGCATGTATGTTTTGATAGATGGAATATATTTAATTTCAAGATGTGCTATAAAATAAAACCATCAATACATTAAAAAGATGATTTTCATGATGAGAACAAGATAAACTGAGTCACAATAATTTACCTGACAAATGTTTCACTTTCCTTTCACAAGTCTACCAAATATTTATGCCAAATGTTGCCCAATCACATCACAGTCTCGGAGCCTTCAGAAACTCGTAGAGGGATGAATAATTACATGAAGACTACCAATATATAAAGTTACACAGACACTAAAGTGTGTATTTCTAACTTAAGTTCTTTGGCACTTTTCTCCTTTGGTTTCTAACTCTTGGATAACCCTCTGAAATATGCATCTCATTTCAGCAGAGACTATGAGAAGCAGAGGAGGAGGAGGAATCCAGTAAAGGCCCAGTTTCCAGTATGTGGAGCGGTGCAGACCAACAGTCCCCAGCCTTTCCAGCACCAGGGACCAGGGCACTCGCTCGCCTGCCACTCACCTCCTGCTGTGCGATCTGGTTCCTAATAGGCCATGGCCTGGTACAGGTCCGTGGCCCGGTGGTTGAGGACCCCAATGTAGACAAGGCTACACTGAGCTAGGAGATAAGATGGAGTCAGGTTTGGAGGAATGGGGAAGACGTCGAATTGACTCCCAGACATGCTGAATTAGAGTTACCTATGGATACCTCATGCAATCAGTACCTGAGTGCCTAAGAAGTCACCAGGCCCCAGGAATTACATGGACAGGTGCATACACAGGTCTAGTCCAGATCTGGGCGTCAGCAGGTGGTATGTAGAAAAAGTCTGAAGGAGTCCACTCCAAATGAGTGTAAAGAGTAGGAAAAAATGTGGACTGAAACCTCTGTAAGGGTAGATTAAGAGAAAGGCAAAGAGGAACCAATAAAACAAAAGCCTGAAGTACAGAAGGTAAACCAAGATGCACTGGTACTACGAGTGGAGACGTTCAGGAAGCAGAAGTTAGTGTCAACCTCGCATATTTAAGACAAGGCCTGAGAAATACTTATTAAATGCTTCGACTAGGAAGTCAGCAGTGACCTTACTGGAGAAATCTGAGTGAAGACGGCGACACCAGCATGCTAAAGCAAAAGAAAACAGCAAGAAAAAGGAAAATGAAGAACAGGATACTTTTTTACTGGCTTAGGCAGGAAATGAAAGAGAATTACATGGTGATAGTGAGAGAGAAGATTTTGGGTCATGAGAACATGTAAGACTAAAGAAAAGTGAAGAGGAGTCAATGGAGACCAAACAGAAGATACAGGAAAGACAACAGTTTTAATGCTTTCTCCAAACTAACTTCAGCACCTCAGTATTTGCCCCCTTTGCTTTAACCCACAGAAACAGACACAGTGCTTGTTTCAGGGACCAGGGCTGGGAGAGAGCAGGCATGTCCTTGGCCAGAAGAGCTCTCCAGGCCCCACTGAACTCCAGCCACACTAGTGCTTTCTTCCCCTTCTCTCCCTCCACATGCGCGTGAGTGTGCGTGTGCACACCTTCAAATCCTGTGCTGAAGTCTCCACTGTGAAAAATATCAGGACCCTGGACCTCGACATTACAATACAAAGGTTTATATTACTTTGCCATTTTCTCATTTTCAATAGAAAAGAATCCTGATCTCCTTTTCTGAAAGATACAAATTATGGAATTTGAGAAAAATATTTCAATGAGAAAGACACATAATCCTAGAACTGGCAAATTTTAGAATGAGAGTTTTGCACATATAATTGGAAAGATGCTAGATCAAGTCCTCAGATCCAGGGCCCACCGGTAACTAGGTTTTAGGACTATGAGCCACGTCTTCCACCTTCTGAACCTTGGGTTCTCAAATGTAAAATAAATCAATTAGAAGAGAGAGAAGGATCACTGTGGTCCCACCCACCCTTAAAAAGAACAAGATTCTGGTCCTGTGTGTGCTACATCTAGCTAAAGAGAACAAGGTTCAAAGAAGCCCTGGCTGGCATGGCCCAGTGGATTGGGCGTTGGCCTGTGAACTGAGATCATTGGTTTGATTCCCAGTCAGGGCACAAACCTGGGTTGCGGGCCAGGTCCCCCAACTCGGGGTGTGTGTGGGGCAACCAATCGATGTTTCTCTCACACACCACTGTTTTTCTCCATTTTTCCCTCCCTCCCCCACTTTCTAAAAAGACATAAATAAAATGTTAAAAAAAAGGATGCAGGAGACAAGTCAATGACTTGAAAAGTTAGTGTGGTGGAGTCATCTGGGAATTGAGGGTTGCTGATTTTCAGTCTAATGTTCTTTCTCCTATAAAATGTTTGAAGATACTGATATTTTAAAGATCTTCTATTCCTCCTCTCCCCCAAATTGTATTTTCAATAACTGGCACAGCCAAGGCTATGGTAAGAAGTGGACACATGCAGAATGTTTCCCCCAACACCCAGCTCCGGAGCCTCTCTGGTGCAGCCAGGCTCACTATAGTCCCAAGCTATTTACCAAAGAAACAGGACAAGTCCCACAAGGTTCTAATTAACGAGCTCAATTCTTCTCTGACAAGCTAAGGCTGATGCTCTATAGCAGCTGAAGCCATCAAAGATGACACTGTGGTAGCTCCTGAATAAATAACAGGTTTTTCCAATTACTGTCAAAAACAGCTATTGGAAAAACCAGTATGAGCAGTCATATAAAAGATGGAGTAAAGACAGGAGAAAAAAGGGTATTAGAAAGAAATAAATGTTTATCATTTGATTACTCTCTATACAGGATTAAACCAACTTAACTTATGCCATATATATATCATATAGAATATTTTATGTATGTAAATTTACACACACATTTTAAAGGGGACAGTTTGAGACTTCTTTTCATTCAAATGTCTAACAAAGTAATATTCATATTTTGCTGAAAATAATCTTATAATTTTATTGCTTAAATACGTCTTGGAATTTATAAACATTAAAAAATATAGTAAAGAGATAACTATTAAGTCAAGTGATATGATATATAAACTACAGATTTGTTTGCCTTAGCACTAATCCAAATTTCCACAGCTGAACAACTTATTTTATTAAAAAAAAATAACACAAACATTTAGTGAGACTGCTTTTTTCAAAACTATCTGCCAACTATATAAAATATAAAATGATGTTAAAAATAAATTCAATAAATCTCTTGATCAATTTCTTTAGTTAATATCAAATATTTTTACAGCACTGAAGTTCATTGCAAACTACTGTTTTAGTCTTTAAAAGCATTCTTAAATAGCTAGAATGTATTGTTTTACCATATGGTCCCATCTTTAAGGAGTAAAATGATAGTCTATTAAAAAAACTCCTAAGGGCGAAAGGCTAATTTAATATAAAAATACACCCTAAGTAATAAGGTAATATATTTCCTTTAGTCAATTTTTCAGCTTAATAATCTCAGTCATTTCTTTAAAGGTTATAAACACTTTTAAAATATCTTGAATTTTACATAAATTACTGATCAAGCAGAGCAATAACTAGGCGTAACGAACACAGTGACGTGAACTCACCTAAATAGGGGATGCAGGGTGTCATCTTTAAACTATTTATATAGTCTCTGAGCCTTTTGTAGTTATCTTCTTTACTCATGACATATTCTAATTTTTCAAAGGTAGTTTTGTCTTTTCGACTTAATAACTAAAAAACAAACAGAAAAACCTAAGTTATTTCCAAATCCCATTTTATTACAGCAAAGACTTGAAGTTGTGCTGTATTTACTGTAAATTTGAATTTAACTTCAAAGTTATACCTTCTTTAATTATATTTGGTAATACATAAATTACAAAATCAGGCATGTCTATTAAGATAATAAACCCAAATCTCTTAACCATAAAATATAATTTCCTGTATGTACAAAGTCATTAAGTTACTTAGTAGGTTATAATACATTATTTCTCATTTTTACTATTTTAAGTGGTCAAGCAATTTCTGTTGAAGAATTTTTCTTGACAAATCTAATCATGGCCACAATATTTGTAAACTATTTGTAAACTATATTTACTATTTGTAAAACATTTGTAAACAAAAATGTGATTTGCATTTTTGGATTTTTGACATTTTTTTTGATCCCTTTGACCAACGCTGTATCACACATAGTTGAGCAATCAACTGAAATTGTTTTAAGAGGCTTCAGGGCAGATTGGTTTTGAGAGCCCTCTGACACACGTGGAGACAGTCACGGAGGGTAAAAGAAAAGCAAGGTCAGTCCTCCAGGTAACATTAACAAAAAGGTTCAGAAAATATTTTTTGAGTATTCTTTGGAGTACTCCAAAGAATACTCTGGAAAAAAATGTTTTTCGTCAAACATATGAAGTCACTCTTTCATTATGATGTAACAATATTTCATTTTATTTATTTCTATCATGAAATATTAGTGTCATTTTATAGCATGTAGAACACTTCCACCAATAAAATTCTCATCTAATTCTCCAATGAGGTTAACAGAAAAGTCCTCATGTTAATTCAGAGATGAGGACACTGAGACTCAAAGGCGATCACAGGTTAAGCAAGGAGCAGAATAATGCACTAACACTCTCGGTCACCCACTCACAGAGACATGGGTCCCTGGTTTTCGGGTTTTAAGCTGGTGCTGGAGATAAAAAGAATTCTGACGCTTGACGGACTCCTCTTTCTAGTATTGCAAGTACAGAATTGGGACTGATGTTGGAATCTATTTCTTTATAGGCTCTAAGATGCAGATTATCTTCAGATAATCTCTATCAGAAAAATGACAAGCATCCCTTCATCTTTAAAACACAAGATTTCAATGAGTCCTTTGCTTTCATATTTTAGACAGATATTCCATGATCTCAAACAGCGGTTCCCCAGGCTTCTCCCCTGTCCAGCTTCAACGCACCTGATTAGCAGATTCAAGATTAGGTGCCAATCTCTGCTCCCTGTAAGTCTAACCGTCCTTTCTCCCCCACATAACATAGCCCTTGGGTGCATAAACAGTGATGTGACATGGCAGGGACAACAGTAACCTAAGTCAATCATTCAAACACTTTGGTATAGTATCAGGAGAAGCAAATTACTTGGAACTCAACTGATCTCGCCACATCTGAAATACAAACTGCTGAAGAACGACATGGTCTAAATATATATAAAAATAACATTTTGCAATTTTCATAATCAATCAATAACCCGATTAAAGTGGTTCAGTGTGGTGTGGGGTAGCAGAGACTGGTTTCCAGAAGACTATTTAGAGGAAGAATATGGGTAAGAGAATTTTAAAATATGGGTAAGAATAATATGGGTAAGAGATGTTAAAATAGGAATTTCCTAGTGATAGCTCAGAAACACTCATCCATGGCTCTTGTGCCCCAGCCATTACTGAGAAGTCTTGATTTTCTTTTCCTTCCAAATGTTTTCCCGATGTTCCCAACGTGATCCCTACAATGTCATCCTACTATATTCCTCCTTCCAAAAAGGGGGAAAGGAAACAAAGTTCATCACATGATTTAAACTCGGCCTGTTTTAGGCGCCACGCTGGCCAAGAGCATGACAACTGGGGGCGAAGCTCTTTACAGTCTCACTGGTGTGGGAACAAGGGGACCTCACGCATTCCTGACCAGATCGTCACACCACTTGGACGAAACAATGTGCTTTGGGAAAATCTGGATGACTCCCTGCTCCTGTCAATCCCCATAAGGAATACAAGGTTCCCAGATCACCCCTCATCATCTTGATTGATATCCCACACAGTGTATAGAAACGTGTGCGCTTGCAGCCGTAAGTTATTTATTTACCCTGGACCTCAGATGCAGACTAATTATAATCCTTTGTTTATGACACTCACTTATCCTTGGTCCCTGATGTGACTCTCATTAAAATAATTTTATAACAAATAATATGCACCTTCCTACGAACTGCATACCAGTAACACATATCTATGCTTCTTTCATATCCAACTCCCTTAATTTATCTTTAAGAGGTAACCAGTAGCCACTATCCTGAATGTTGTGTTTATCATTCTCTTAAATTTTATTTGATCTTTGACTAAAGCATACCGTATTGTTGACAGTCATTGGCAGCTGCTTTATCCACTTGACTTTTTTTTTAAATTGTTCCAATTTCCCCCCATTTCTCTCCTCTGCAACACCCCTCCCCCCCACTGCCACCAGTGGACTGAATGCTGGTCTGGGAACCTAAAGGTTGCTGGTTCGATTCCCAGTCAGGGCACATGCCTTGGTTGCAGGCCAGGTTCTCGAGTGGGGGCATGTGAAATCTGTGTATCTCTTGCACATTGATGTTTCTCTCCCTCTTTTTCTCCCTTCCTCCCCCTCTCTGTAAAAGTAAATAAAGTCTTTAAAAAAACCCACAAACCTCCAACAATTCCCCCGCCATCCCTCTCAATTAATGAACTTGCTTCTCACGTATTAAGAAACAAAGCATCAGAAGAACTACAAAATCCCACCACCAAATCCACCAACTTAGCTGCATCTGGAACCAAATGCATCCCTTCTCTCCTGTTAAAATGGACCAACTGTTCCTGCACCATGACTCCTGGGTCAAATTCCCTCTTGCCTAAGAGAGGGTGTCACAGGAATAGTCCCTTGTCCTCCTACCATCCCCCCACATTAGATCACTGCCACCAGCACACAACACTCCATCATAGGGGTCACCTCCAAAACCAAACCAAACCCCACCAGTCTTTACATTCTCTGTATTTGCTGTCCATTTTCTCCACTATCCCCTCAAATCGAACCAGCCTTTCACCCCACCATGGTACCGAAACCAGTCCTTTTCAATCGCCAGATCCAATGGTTGTCTCGAAGTTATCACCTTATTCAACGTATTAGCAGCAACTGACACTGGCAATTAATCATTCTTTCTTGAAACAGTTTCTTTACCTGACTGTGGAAAACTTCTACCTATGATACTTGCTATTCCCTGTTTTTCCAAAATTTAAATCTTGCATGGTTCTAGGGCTTTTCGCCTATGCCTCAGGTGGTCCTATCTGACCCATGCTTTAAACACTGTCTTTATGATGATCACAAAAACATACCTGTAGCTCCAACTGCCCTCTTAAACTTGGATCCCTCACTCGGACCTTACAGTCTCACACAGATATTTATCAGCCAACTCCAACTTGGTACGTATAAAATAGAACCCACCCCCAGCCCGCCTACTCCTTCTCTATGGCTCCAAGGTAAATTACACCTCCAGCACCTGGCTCAATGCCACCTCTCCAGACACACCTCCTACCACCCATCATTCCTAGCTCACGCCACAGTCAACACTGGCGACCCTGCTGTTCTTTGAAAGTTATTAGGGCCTTTGTTGTACTGGCTACTACCGGTGCTTGGAGTTCTCTTTTCCCAGATATCCACATGAAAGGTCCTCTAAATTCCTCCAGGTCTCTACCCAACTGTCACTTATTAGAGACTCTTGCAACATATTACATGAAATACCTCCCTGCTTTCCTTTCTATCCATTTACTTTGCTTTATTTTTCTTCGGAACATTCATCACTATTTATGATGGATCATTTATGTATTTACAGTTTATCTTTTCCCAGTAGAATGTTATCTAAGAAAGGGGCCATCTATGTAACTCACTATTGTATGCCAAGCTATTACACAGTGCCCTGCACAATATGGAATATTTTAAAATTTAATGTGAACACCAAAAATTTTATTTATATTAATAATGGAGCTGTTGCTAAATTTAAAAAATCTTTTCCATGAAAATATATGAGAGAGACAATAACAATACCTCAAAGAAAATAAAAATTAACTCAAGGGAAATATATCTCTTTTCTAAACCACAATATAAATCAGAGTGTAATTCTTTTCCCTAAACTTCAAAGGTGGAATTTATAACTATATATTTATAATCATTTCCATTCCTCCATGAAATTCAAATTAAGAGGAGAATAAGGCCACCGTTATTGAAAATAAATTCTAAAGTAGGAAAACCCTCTGCCCAGGTGTTTCTAAAATACAAATAAAATATAAAGAGGATTGTAGTTCTTCCACACTGACATTCTTCCACTATAGAAAATCCACCCTGGTTTTCATGAGAAACACCTGTCCCTGCAGACTCCATGAAAAATGAAAGCAACATTAGGCTAATTAAGAATAGTTACAGTTTAGTAATTAAAAAAAAAGAAAATTTTTACATTCAGTCATTTCTTTGTAACAGGACCCTAAGGATACACTAATCCTTCGTACAAAATGTAATCAACAAAATCTGTCCTCTTTAACATTAAAGAACAGTATTAAATATGAAAAGATTTAATTAAATGTAAAATTTTACTTAAATCTAAACAAAAATACCTAGAAAGCGTAGGGCCAGTATCATGTCACTCAAAGATGAAAATACAAAAATTTGCACAAGTCAAAATTCACATTTTGACCTTGCTAAGGTAACAGAACCAAATATGGTTAACATAATACCGCAATGTGCAGCAACACTGCACACCACCATGCTCTCAGATTTTTTCTATTATTCCTAAGGGAAAACCTCCCAAAATTGACTGACTAAAAAATAATGGAACTCTAAGTCAGTATACTCCTTGAAACTTAAAATTTAGAGTTTCCTCAAACTTTCCAAAAGCAAAATCTTTACATGATTAAATGTAATTTTTTTTTGTATTTACACTTTCCCATCACTAAACATGAAGGGCTATATTGTCTAGTTAGTTAAAGAGGTTTGAGACCTTGGCTGGTGTTGCTCAGTGGATTGAGTGCTGGCTGGTGAACCAAAATGTCACTGGTTTGATTCCTGGTCAGGGCACGTGCCTAGGTTACAGGCCAGGCCCCTGGTTGGGGGCATGCAAGAAGCAACGATCAATGTGTCTCTCACACATTGATGTTTCACTCCCTCTCTTTTTGTCTCCCTTTCCCTCTGTAAAAGTTAAAAAGAGGTTTGGCACAACTGACTTCCTAAAGAGAAGAAACCAAGCACCAAGCTGTAATTTACCCAGAAACACTTTAGGAGAAACAAAAATGTAGGTTTCAAAAAACAGAGTACAAAGTAATTAAAAAATCCTCATCTATCATCATCATATTAAGCTTAGTTACTAAGCACTACAAAAGGAACTAATACATCTTCACTTCCAACCAGAAAGCTAACCTTTCTTTAACTTAAGAAGCAGTACTCACCGCCCATGTTTTCGTCAACCTAAAAATCGGGGCGCTCTGTAATCCTGAAACCACTGCCATGAGCGCATGGAGGTTATTCAGCTCGTACAGTTTCTGAAGATTTAAGAAAAAAGAGAAGAGATGAAAAATAAATAGCATGAATACAAAAAAAACTTGACAGTAACAACAAGTACAACCTAGGCAACTGGTAGTGTCCAGCACTTAACCTCCCTCCTTGCTGAGCTTTGCCTTTAGAGAGCCCACTGTTTCACATTAAGTTGCTTCTGGCCCACGGCGGAGATTCCATGTTCTAACCTGGTACTGCCCCCAAACTCTGGGAATCTAGCTACCTCCAGTTGGTAATACATTAAGAAAACCAAAGCTATGGCTCATCAAGTTTCCCAGGTATGATCACGCACTCTGGTATCCAGCAATCAGTCTTCTTCCTTACAAAATATTACGAAGCCTCTGTCTCATGATCCAAATTTCAAGGACAGGGTCTATGCCCAGGATCCTGATATGGTTTCCTGCTCAATACCCCCACTGTGCCAGGTCCAGGGTTCAAACCTGCTTTCTCTAGTCCGTCTCAATTTCCTGCTTCCTCTGGCCCCAACCCCACAATCCTGTGTTCTTCATTTATGCTCTGCCATCCACCTGCTGCCCAGCACCAGACCTTGCTTTTGACAGTCTCCTTGCAGAAAACTGGTACCTAACAACAGGTGCTGTCAGTTTGCCAAGACATCTACTTGACATTTATTGCTCATTTTCCAGACTTCTTCATTCTATGATATGCTTACAGTCTAATGGCCCTATCTAAAAATAAGTCATTTAAACCTGGTCTCATCCACTCTCAACAGACTCCAAGGCAAAAATCCTTTTCTGAACATTAGAACTAAGGGAAGGGAAGGGGTTTGGTTTTTCTGGAAAACTCAGGCTAGTACGCCACCTTAACACAGGCGTCAAAGAAGCCCCATAAAGTTTCAAGAAATATGAACTCAAGTAAAAAAGAAAAAAGAGGAGGAAAATGAAAAAGCACAAAGAAACAGGAATTCAACATCAGGTATGGCCCTCAAATAAATGAAATGTTAAATATGAAGGCACTATCCAGAATGCAATGTAAAAGCCAAAGACTTTAAAAAGTGAAAAACAGGAGACATGACAAGTACAGCAAAAAGGCCATTATTTATCTAATTTAAGTCAGGAAATAGTAAAACAAATGGGGTAGGTAGAAACAATATTTGAGAGACAATGGCAGGTTATTTTCCCAAATTACTGAAAGACACTAATTCCTAAGGCCAGGAACTTAAGGAATCCCAAGCAGAGTAAATAAATTTAAAAAAAAAAAAAAAAAAAAAAAGTCTAAGTCTGAAATAGCATTTTTCAAGAACAAGTGTGACATAAAGATTCATCCAGACAAAATAAAATAGAGTTTTAAGAAAGAAGGGACTTTTAAGAATGCTGCCAGAATGATTATTCAGAACATTATGAACTGAAATCCATAATTCATACATATTATTATATATTAGATTTACTCCAGGCAGAGTAAATACTGAAGTATAAAATCAAAGCCATAAAACTTTTAAAGGCTAATTAAGAAAATATTTCTGATATACTCAGAGATTAGGTTAGGCTTTCTTAAATAAGATATCCTTAACTAAGACAATAAAAATTAAAGATGAGTAAGTTTTATTACTAAGCTAAGAACATCTATGTCAAAAGATAACATGAAAAGAGGAATGATGAGACAAGCCATTAACAGGAATATACATGCGAAGTATACAATAGAGAACTAGAGATTACACACATACACACTCTCTCTCCGCGCCTCCCCCCCCCGCCCTATAAAAATCAAGAAAAGACCAACATCATAATAGGAAATTGTTCAAAGATCTTGAATAGACATTTCAGGAAAGAAAACCTAAATGGCCAAAATAGAAAAAAATGTTCATTCTCATCAGATTCAATGAAAGCTATGGGTCTGTCATTCTTTGAAGGTAATTTGTCTTTTCTCTCTGTAGTTCTAGGGCTTCAGCTTCACATGAGGACCAAAAGACTGGCACAAGAATGCTTTATGGCAGCAGTGTTTGTAACACCAAAAATCTGGAAACTATCCAAGCTAGAACATACTAAACAGTTTGTGGTATAAGCAAACAACAGAATACAACAGAGATATACCTGAAAGCACTCAGTAACACTGCTGAGTATAAAACAAACAAAATACACAACTAAATTATGAAAATATAAAATGATTACAGAATAATTCAATTCAAGCAAGACTCAAAACCATATACAGCAATGTGTTATTCAGGGACACACACATATATAGTACAACTATTTAAAAAAAGCAAACAAAATTTAGGTTAGGTCAGGGGACTGCCTGTGAAAAGGTGTATGGGAATTAAGAGGGGGCTGTGTGTAAAGGTTAACTACACTGTCATTCTTTTGATATGTTAAGCATATTTTATAAATACTCTTTTGTGTCTACTGATACTTAGTTTTAGGCTCCAGTACTCAGTTATTTAATCAAACAGGAATCTAGGTGTTGCTGTGAAGATATTTTGTAGATGTGGTTAACATCCAGACTCAGTTCATTTTAACAAAAAGATTACACTCTATAATCAGGTAGGCCACATCTAATCAGCTAAACCACCTTAGGAGGAAAAACTGAAGTTTCCTACAGAAGAGCTTCTACCTCCAGACTACAGCCTCAACTCCCACCTCAGGATGGGGCTAGCTAGCCTCCTGCCCTACAGACGTCAGACTTGCTGGCCCTCAACCCCAAGAGCCAATTTTTTACGTCAATTTATATACTATATTTATATATATTTTTCTGTTTCCAGAGGACCCTAACTGATACAATCTACTGAAAGAAAAAAAAGACCTGCCGGCTTTATAATAAACTGAATACAGAAGGCAGAGAGTCAGAATAGAAGAACTTAAGACACAGTGATGAGACAAAAAGCTATGAATTTAGGGCTTGGGATAAAAGCAAGCACTTTCAAACATAACTCCAAGTTTAAGAGTCTGAACTGGAATTAAACGATTATTTGGTGAGAAGGATAATGGAAGGTTTGATGGGTAAAATTTGGTGGTTTTGAGTGGGATATACAAGCACATAAAAAACTAACAAAAATACCAAAAAACAATAATGCAAATTCATAATCTACGGGGAAAAGTAATGAATTTCTATGAGCTAAAACCCAATATTTATCTAACTTACCACAAAGAATGTTTTTAGAAATTTTATGACATTTCAGCAAAATACTGAGTTTTAGAAGGCTAGTTCTGCCACCTAGTGCCCCAGAATCTTAGAATAAAACCGCTCCCACGAGCTCAAGGAAAATACATGAGGTGTAACTTACAATAATTGAAATTTTACAATTATAACACTTAGAGTTAGTAAAGCAGTATCCTCATCTTAGTCCATCTTCTTTCATTCACAGGTAAGCTAAATTATATACTTATTACAAGGACAATAAAGAATGTGACTACACACATACCACTTCTTAGTGACCTTAACATAAATCTGGAGTTGTTAAAAGTTTTAGTAAAATCCTGGTGTCCTCACGTGGAACATCCTGTTCCACCCTCCTCTCTGGATGCGGCCTGCCCTCGGAACCCACGCTCCACTCCTCTTGCCGGTTTATTACCTACCCCCCCTCAACAAACGCAATTATCACATTTGGTTAACACCTTCATTTACACTATTCTTTTAAAAATAAAGTCTTATTCCCTGCATGGTTGGCAGAGTTATCTATTTCAAAAGCAAACAGTTGATAAGTATTCTACTCAATTCTACAAAGCTTTCTCAATCCCTTGCAGAGGAGTCCAATATTTAAATACTGGACTTCACCATAATCTGACCTCTACTTATTCAATCAAATAAATCATACAATTCGGCTATTCTAAGAAATGGGGAAAGATGTAAAAAGGAAAGGGGAAAGAAAACTAAAGGAAAAGGCAGAGGAAACAAGTATCAGTTTAGAAACTGCTTACATTAATTAATGGGTCTTACTTTCCAGCATTAGAAAATAGTAAACAACATATCACAGGCAAACATTCACAAAAATTGCTGAGTAGTTGAACTCAAAAATAAAATTACAAATTTTTCTTACCTTAGCAGTTTTAATATAGTGGCTCAAAACTTCTGCTCTGATTTTTAATGTTTGAGCATGAAGAATCTCTCTAACAACCCAAAAGCTCACCTGCAAAGAAAAATGAAGAACAGTTGAATGGCAAGACTCTTTACTCTCTAGGATCAAATTAGTGACAAAAGCCCCTTGAAGAACCACCTACAGCTGTCGGAAAATGACACTTGCTCCTTCCTTTGATTTACTACCAGATGCACACACATCATATATGTAGACAGATGTAGATGTGCGCCTGTGGGTGTACACACACCATAAAAACACCACTATTTTCAATTTGTAAAAGCTCATATAAATTTTGAAGAGAGCAAAGAGAATGCAATAAAACCAGGGTGATGCAACATGAACACTATACAAATACAATTTTTTTTTTTTTTTTTGCTTGCTGTACTTTGAAACACTTTGGCAGAATTGGGTAAGTTCTAAGAAGAGATGCTGGAAAATATGCTACTTATTATAGTGTGTCTTTCTGTGGATATACAATCCCACATTGTTGTTTATTTACACTGAGAAGAATCCTAAGTGTGAAAAATCCCAAGTATGGTTTTCTTGGTATGAATAAAATGAAATATCATAAAGAAAAATATACAAGTCATTCTAAAATTAAAATTACATTTTAAAAATTATGCAGTGCTTTCTGGTTCAACTAAACCACATTCATGATCTCTTTTAAAGAATATTAAAAATCATTCATCAGAAGGTAGACTAGATCTGTAACATTACTAAATGTTCTATGCTGGTGAAAACGGTTTGCTTATCATATAATGTAACATTTTAATTCACCTGCAAATGAAAATAAAATCAAAGTGCTATCTGTTGGCTCAAATTTATACAAATCTAAAAACAGGATGTAGTTAGAAATATTAATGCAAAAGATAATGCTACTAACTCATATTCACCTATTTTTTGTGGGAAATGTCATTTTACTTGCAATTTTCTTCCAGTAAATTGTCAAAATGTAAATATTTTACAAATGTGCATGTGAAAGTAAAATGCATATATTTTATAAAGCCATCTTCGTATCTGTTACTGTATTTAAGCTATTAATGGCAATAACTATCCTTGATTCTCATTACGTTTACTTCTAAAATATATCAAAAAGTTTATTTTAGATATTTTAACAACAACCTTAGCAATTATCTGTGAATGCAATCTCAACCGCATGATCATTGACTTAATTAAATTTAATGTCAGGCAAATATTAAGACAAATACTATGGTGATTTTAAAACATGACCACAGTCCTGGCTGGCGTGGCTCAGCGGACTGAGTGCCGGCCTGCGAACCCAAAGGTCACCAGTTCTATTCCTAGTCAGAGCACATGCCTGGATCGCAGTCCAGGTCCCCATTTGGTGGCGTGCGAGAGGCAGCTGATCAATGTATCTCTCGCACACTGATGATGTACATTGATGTTTCTCTCCCTCTCTTTCTCCCTCCCTCCCCCTCTCTAAAACATAAATAAATAAAATCTTAGGAAAAAACAAAAAAACAAAAAACAGCCCTGGCTGGCCTGGCTCAGCGGATTGAGCGCCAGCCTGCAAACCAAAGGGTCGCTGGTTCGATTCCCAGTAAAGGCACATGCCGGGGTTGCGGGCCAAGTCCCCAGCAAGGGGCACGTGAAAGGCAACCACACACTGGTGTTTCTCTCCCTCTCTCCAAAAGTAAATAAATAAAATCTTTAAAAAGACAAAACAAAACATGACCACAAAATTCTTTGTCATTTCTCTCATTGAAAGCTGGGGTGGGTGTCATCTCTCACTGAACCTGGACAAGCTCCCAAGTGCTTTGATGAACAGAGGATTAAAGAACTTGATGCTGACTTCCAGGACCAGGTCATGCTGGGGCATCCTCTCTGGGTCCCTAGGCTCCCATGTACTAAGTCCAACTAGGCACAGACAACCTTGAGGGAAAGGCTAAGCGGGGGTGCTCCCCAGCCGACAGTCCCTGCTGAAGTCAACCCAGCTCAGAATACTGACCCAGAATGACCAATGACAAGATGCTGTTTAATAAAATTACTGGACTTGGAAGAAAAAACTATTTTGGCCATTGAGGCAAAAAGAGAAAGTAATTTTTTAGGAAAAGAAAATTTAATTATGATCAGATTTTTCTACAGCAACACTATGAGGAAAAAAATGGAGTACGATACCAAATATAATTTTAAAAAAAGAAAATTTTATACAGAAAACAGACAAACTTGTCAATATGTAAGAACTCAGGAATTATTGTCCCAATAATATTTAATCTACCCAAGAATGAGCTTCAGACAACCCAAATGACTACTGAAATATCAACATAAAGATGGTTATATTAAATATACACTTATTCATAGAACCAAGACTAAAATAAATAAGGGTTAAAAGAGAGTGAACGCATTATACCATGTCTATATGCTCAGATAGATATATAGTACAATTATAAAAAATAGAACACCTGCAAAATATATATTTCTTCACAATATTATTGGTATTAGTAGTATTATTCCAAGACTGTTCTGTAGGAGAAAGCAAACAGTGAATCACGGAACACTGTATCATGCCCCGAGTTCCTATGGAAACTCTGAACTACCGCTGCATCTTTTCAAAGTTGAAATGGAAAGGCACAGATTGTTAGTCTGGATTCAAAAAAGGAAGGCTAGACTATATGCTGGCTACAAGAGACTCATTTTAAAAATAAAGATGCAGAGAGGTTCCCTCTAAAAGACTCTAATTTGCTCCTTCAGATCTCTGTGACCTATGAGGAGATTACCTAGAGTAATGCAGTAACTAAGCAATGCAGCTTATATAGGATCAGTTGTGATCTGGAATAAAGATAAAAGCTTTCAGTACACTGTGATGTATTTGACTTGACAACTTTTTGGCTTACGTAAGAATACTTTAAGTGCTTAAAATCTAGAGCCAAATTTGTGGGTTTTGTAACAATGTATTTTATGGCAAAGAAAAAACTTTTATTGTAATGATAAATTCTAACCACCTCAGAAAACTTTTTAAAACTGCTATATAGATTAAATACGGAATTCAGTAGGAAGACATATTTGCCTTGCGCCCCTATTAATGATTTAGTCTAAGCTTTAAAAACCTGAATCCATTTCCATTTGGGGGCGTATAGTGAACCAAGGAACCTAAGAAATTACTGGCTATAAACACAAAGAAATGCTGGGTTGAAGATAACAAATGCTTTCCTAAAGAAATGTATAGCTAACTTGAAAGGAAAAGAAAGAATTTCTCTAAAGGCCAAAAACAAGGAAGGAAATACAGGCAAAGCACTGGTTAAAAGAAAGGATTTCCTCTCAGTGACAGGGTCTTAGAATTTAATACTCCTTCAAAAACATAACGCATGCTCTACCCTTCCCCCTCTATTTGTAGCTGGGGGATCTCAGGAGGGATCCACTCTTGGTGGAAGGTGGACCAAAACAACTCACCTACAGGCAGAGGGAAGAGAAAAATAAGGCTTTCATAAGAATTTATAACCCGCCCTTAGTTAGATTTTGAGTCTAAACTTTCACTACAGAGAAGTACAGGTGTCCCCAACCCAAAACGCTTAACATGAAGAACAGTCCTAGGTCTGTGACAGCCCGTGGAACCAGTGAAAGCAAACCACAGGGACACACCTCTCAGAAGGGATACACCCTCAACCTAGGCAGCAGCAAAGTCCCCACAGAAAAGGCTTGAACAGACGGAGATCTCAATCCAGTTACAAAATGCTTAAGAAAACAAACCACTGTGAACAAGGATCAGCAGAAATAACAGATTTCAAGTGCCACAATGGCTTTGGTTAGTGACACAGAAATTATAAAATGCTGAAAATGATTTAAGAAATTTTAAAAAATGGCACTAGTGTAAAAACACAGACTTAAAACATATGACATTTGAGGAGAATTAGTGAACTAAAATATAGATCTGAGAAAATCACCCAGAATGAGCACAAAGGCATATGATGTAACATAAGAAAGGTTAAGACAAGTAGGAGAAAAATGTTAAGTTCCAACAAATTTCCAACACAAATTACAGGAAAAAAAAGAGAATATGCACAGAGACAATATTTGAAGAGAGAGAGCATGAAAATGTTCCAGAACTTATTTCTTTATGAAAAATTATATATTGAGGAATTGTATTTCAGAAACTAAACAGCAAAATTTTATGAGCAACCGCCCTGGCTGGTGAGGCTCATGGATTGAATGTCAGTCTGTGAACTGAAAGTTCGCCAGTGCAGTTCCTGGTCAGGGCACATGCCTGGGTTGCAGACCAGGCCCCCCGCAGGGGGCACACAAGAGGTAACTGACTGATGCTCCTCTCGCACGGAGTTGTTTCTCTCCCTCTTCCTCCTCTTCCCTCCCCCGCCCTTGCTGAAAATAAGTAAAACCTTAAAAAAATTTTTTATAAGCAACTCACATGATTAAATCTTCTTGTGAACGCAACTGCATTCGGTGCAGAACTGTATTTTTCTTTTTTATTCCATCCACAACTTGAAAGCTCCTAGAAAATTAAGTTGAAAATTAAATATGCAAGAAAGAGCCAGATTTTCTTGTCATATTAAGGGTTTAAAAACATTAAAAAGAGTTGTGTACCTTCTTAGAACTGACTTATTCAGTAGGAAGTTACCTAACATTACAACCACTCAGTTAAATCACAAAAGCAAATTGTATTAGCAGAAAATACGAGGGCAAAATCGCTTGCCTATGAGAACACAGACGACCAGATTTCTACTCCACGGGCATCCTCTGAAGAGATCTGAATCCCAAGAGGAAAGACCCACACATCAAGAAAGCTGAGCACCCCACAACCCAAAGTGACGGCTGTTGTTAAGCCCTGCTCAGTCGCCAGGGCTTCCGACGGGGTCCCAGTGCCTCGCTCGCAGAGCGGACAGCCACCTCCTGGCTACTGGCTAGTGAGAGAAACCGCTAAGGAAGGGGTTCTGGATCCCCCACAGGGTCTGTCAATGGAATTCAATGGGCTCGGGAACTTGGATGTAAAAAAAATGAGATTTGTGTTCTACACTAATCTCCAACTGAAATGACATTCCTTTTCATTATAAATGTAGGCTACAGATTCCAGAAGAAGCAGCAATATGTGTGACTTTGATACAAATAAAAAATCATGTACTTTCATATTGCAGTACAAAATAAAAACATCTACACTCATCATTACTTTAAAATTATAATCTTTTGCCTCTAGGACTTATTTAATATACTAATAAAAACATATATATTGCTAAGTAACAGTTTAAAAATACTTCGAGAAGTGTATTTTAATAGAACATATTTCCTTTAATAAAAGGGTTCAGTTCCATAGGCTTCAGCCTGCTGACGCAGTTCAAAATAAGATCCCTGCAGCTTCACCGACCACCAGAGAGAATCTATAGGAAGAAAACAAAGAACTCAGGAAACTGAATTAGGCAGGGAACAAAAGACAACTGAGAAAAGAAAAAGACAAAACCATATTATTATTACTCTTACTCTCAGACAGATGAGAATAAATAGTGCTCCCATTAAGGAAAACCAGGAGGATATAAAAAGATATATTCAGAGAAAAAAAAATCGAGCTTTTGGAAATGAAAAATTGTAAAAATACACAGAAGAACTGTGAGATAAAGGTGATAAAATAATTTAAACAAAAATATGTTAATTATGAGTCCATAAGATTAAACATCTGAACAAAAAAAAAGTTTTAAGAGATGACAGAGAAAATGGAGAAAAGTTAAGTAACTAAAAAAAGATTTGCCCTGGCTGGTATGGCTCAATGGACTGAGTATGGGCCTGAGAACCAAAGGGCTGGTGGTTTGATTCCCAGTCAGGGCACATGCCTGGGTTGCAGGCCAGGTCCCTGGTTGGGGGAGTACGAGAGGCAACCACACACTGGTGTTTCTTTCCCTCTATTTTCCCCTCCTGTCTCCTCTCTCTAGAAATAAATAAATAAAATCTTAAAAAAAAAAAAATTCAAGAAAATGCCCCAGAACATAAAAGGACGAGAAAAGACATATTACAGTAGATTAAAGAAAAAAAAGAAAAAGAAGACGACTCAAACGAAGGCCTAGCACCAAAGAACTGCGGCACTTTGGAGATAAAGAGATCATAAAATCTTTGTTTTTAAAAAACAAAACAAAAATATATCGCATACAGAAAAAGAGGAATCAGGTGGTACTGGCCATCTCAGCAGCAACACTAGGAGCTCGAGGGCCACTGAACCAATGCCTTCAAATTCCTAGAATTCTAATTCCAACAGAATTAGCCACTAAGTGTGAAAGTATGACAGAGACATTTTCATATATTACAGTCTCAGTGAATTTTCCTTCTATGTACCTATTCTCAGAGGGCTAGTAGAATATGTTCCATCAAAACAAACTAGCAAATTAAGAAAAAGCAAGAGATGGGATAGATCTAGGGAACTGGAAGCCAATGTAGAAAGAAAATATTTGGGATTCCCACATTAACAGGAAAGAGGGATCCTGGGGCAAAGCTATGAGCAGACCTTTGGAACAACAGGCCAGACAGTAAGTACAGGAGGACAGTGATCCTAAGAGACTTGAGCCTGAAAGATAAAACAAGAGTATCTGAAGTGTCTGAACACACTGAGTGGACACATTCAATACATTTGCTTCAGGCAGAACAATTAGTGACACATACAGAGAAAGCTAACGTAAGTTATTAGCTTAAGAAAAACAAAATTTAAGTAATCATGGCCCAACTGTAGAGAATAACTGAGCCATGAGTAACTTGTTCTTTACAGTTCGGCCATGGTTTACTTATTCACGTCAGAACTGTGACATAACTATAGGAAGTGAATTGTGCAAGTATGAGGGGAAGAGAATATGAGAGTGAAATCATCTTCTACAGTAGAGTCAATAAATCACAAATAATAGGCATTTAGCATTTTATTTGAAAACTGGACATAAACTCCTCCAGAGGAACAGCTGAGAGACTTGGGTGGGTGTGGGGCTCAAGGGTAGAGGCCGGATGGGTGAGAGCAACCAGACTTGAGTATCGCTACACTACACTTCTCTTTTGACTTAAACACAATGCACATGCATCTTCAGTGAAATTTTAAAATGAAATAGGAACTAGTAAAAAGGAATGGACTGAGCCAGGGGAAGACCGAGGAAATAGTTCTGGATACTACTCGGCTCCAATAGAAAAATAAGGTTCCCTCGACTGGGGTGGTGTCAGTGGATGCTGAAAAAAGTGGTAGAGCCGAGGTATCTCGGAGGCAGGCAGGACGTGCTCAAGAACCTGATCACAGCACGCAAGCTTAGAGCAGGGGGCCAGGAGCACCAAGGGCCCCGGTTTCGAGCTGGAGCGACTGAGACAGGCCACCGAGGGAAGAGAGGCCACTGCCTCAACGCAGCTGACAAGTAGTAGTTCAAGCTCTGGAGATATGAAGTATTAACTTTTTTTGAACATAAAATTAGATTAAAACTTTCAAATTTGGGATTACTGAAGGAAAAAATAAAATGACAGGAACAACTCTACAGTAAGAAAAATACAACAAAAAATTGCTTGGTACTCAGCCTAGATATATGCTCATTTCACATTATCTCTTGGTACAGCCAAAAAATATTTAGTGATAGATATTACATTAATATAAAAATAACATTCTATGACGACTATATTAAAAAACACCAATCTGCTAGAAACCGTTTTTATTCTTCCTGCAAATCACGGCATATTTATATAATTATATAAAATGCCCTATTTTAGGATAAAATTCCTGACTTAAACCCATAAATACTAAATTTATTTTTAATCAATACAATTTCCAAATTTATATTAATGCTATAATCAAAGTATCTCTACCAAATTGCTGTTAAACTTATCAAACCATTCAATGCATCCATTTGACATGGAGTTCAAACTCAATTATAGAGCTTTACACATAAGATGGGTTTCATTTTCCTGCTATAAGGCTATGCTAGAAATAATAAATATCCTTGTACCTTTTCCAACATTTCTGATCATCTCCTGCAAGTGAAATCACTAGGTCAAAGAGTAGGAACTTTTTCAAGGCTTTGAGATCTAACTGTCCTCCAGAACACTGAGTTATTTATATTATCACTATACAACAGTCTTATCAAAACTGGGTTATTTAATTTCTCTAATATATGTTAGTACTTTTCCCCAAATGTAAGAGTAATTATGTTTGTTAAATGTATTTGCTAAATAGTGAGATAATGGCGGGGAGGGGGGGTGGTTGTGAATTACTTGTAAACCCACAGCCTTAAAAAACAAACAAACAAACAAACAAACAAACAAACAAACTTACGCAAACATCTTCCCAATCTTCTGTAAGTGTCTATGGGGGCCTGGTTTTGATTTGTTCCTTTAAAGTAGCCAATATACCTGACCTTTTCTGTGTGATTTAATCTACTAATTTTGTGCTTAAAAAGTGCTTCTCATCCTAAGAACAGATGTCGTAACAGTAGCAATAAAAATAACGGTAAACACCAACTTACAGGCCACTACGAGCCAGGCACCACTCTAAGAGCTCCACACAGGCCAGCTCATTAGACCCCGTCTTCATTGTTACCATGTGTTAGGATAAATAAGGGACCCAGACAAAGTGCTGGTAACTTACAGCTTTATGTTTTACATTAAACGATTTTTTAAAAGTTTTTGTGATGCCTCAAAAAATTTTAAGAGGTTTCTGAAAAATCTAGTTCTAGAAACATTTCAACATCATCAACTTAATGGAAAAACTGTTTTGTCCCTTTAAGAAATTTTTGTTGGAAGTGGGTGGAGAGGAATGAATGAATCTGCAGTCACATCACTTGGGCGCAAAATGATTAAATTCAATTGCAGCCCTCCATTCAAAAGAAATGTATCTTTTGAAAGTACAAAGAAACAAGTTTTTGTTTGTTTTTTTGAACTACTTAAGATGACAGCTTCTGCTTCAGAAAATATTTCCCCTGTGAGACAATGTTGCATCACTAGTCCATTTACCACAACAAGCCCACAGACCTGTAAAGATGGAAAACAGGCTGGTGGTTGCCAGGAGGTGATACTGGGGACGGGGCAGCAGCGGGATGGGTGTGACTCAAGGGGGCAGGTGGCCTAAGGGCGAGGTCTCTGTGGTGATGGACGAGTTCTGGATCCCGACTGATCAGGGTGGTGGCGGGACAAATCATACCTACACATGCAATAAAATGTCCTACAACTATTCAGACATGTACTGGATTATACTTCTGTAAGATGTAACTCCAGGAACAACTGGGTAAAGGGTAAATGGGGACTTCTCTGAACTATTTTTTGCGACTTCCTATGAATCTGTAAGTTTCAATCTGTAAATAAGTAAGTTTAACAACAACAAAAACTCCTTTAATGGATCATGAAGCGGAAATCGAATGGACTCCACGTATGCTTCCTCCCCTTTCCTTCTTAAACCCGGACATGCACTTATGGTTAGCTGGCCTTCTGGGGATTTTGTCCTGCCCCACCTCAACCTCTCAACAGCCACTCAATCTCTCTGTGAGGAAAAAAAAAATT